GGGGCCAGTCTGGAGGGCAGAGTGGGGCCCACAGGCAGTGGGAAGACTGTGAGCACGCATGTGTGGGTGAGGACCCTGGGTGCGGAAGGTGGACTTGGAGCCGGGCCCAGAGTGGACTGGGTGGAAGAGAGCGGGCAGGGGCCGTGAGGACCGACGCTCAGAGGCCCTGGGCCTGTGCCCTGGGGGAGCGGAACCTCTCCCCGCCTCTCTCCCTCCCCACGGGAGGTTGAGTCAAATTGGCGGCAACGCTGACAGTTGTCAAATCTGGAGAGGGGGCTCAGGAGCAGACGGAGGGCCTGGCCTGGGTATATGGGGGCAGAGGGGCAGGGTGTAGAGAGAATCAAACCCTCCCTGAGGGCTGGGCGGGCAGGCTGGCAGGGCCACCCGGGGCCGGGATTCTGGGGTGAGGTCAGCATGTCCAGGTGACTGCCACTGTGGTGTCCACGGGGGCCACAGCCCGTCCACCCCTCAGTCCTCAGCCTCACCGCCACCCCAGCCGTGCAGCCCCCACTCTGACCCGCAGTCCCCTGCCCTCCGTCCTTGGCCTCCAGCCCTACCGTCTGCCGGGGCGGCCACTTGACCAGAGTGAGGGATGGGGTGGGGTCACGGAGAGCAGGTATCACTTGACCCACCATGTGGCCTGGGACACTGTGGGGTAGGGGCGGAGACAAAGACACCTGAGAACCTGGGGTCGGGGGGGGGGGGGCAGGCAGGCAGAGGGGCCTGGGCCGGGGTCCTCAGTCTCCCCTGGGCCTGACCCAGGGCTGTTTGGTTCTGTGTTTCCGGGGGTGGAGGGGGGTGAAGACGCTCTGAGGGGGCCGTTCACTGGCCACTTGGCTCGATGGGACCTGAGGAGTGTGTTTTGACGCGAGTGCCCTCAGCTGAGCCGGATGCCAGAGACTGGCGGGAGGCAGCGGCTCTCCCAGACGCCTGATCCTTCACGGGGATTCCCCTTTCCCCCCATTACAGAGCACATGTCGCCCTTAGGGAAGTGGCAAGGATACAGAGAAGAAATCACCTTTTTTGCCACCAGGGGACCCTGTTCACCATTTGGTTTTCCGTCAGCCTGCGTTCTGGCATCCTCTTACCGACATCACACGGGTGTGCACCCGCCGCCCCTCCTGTGACCGTGGCCTCCTCTTCTGGGCACCCACAGTGCAGGATGTGGGTCTGCGGCAGCGGTGGTTTCACAGAGGTGCTCCTTCCTGGGCCTTGTCGACCGGGTGTCTGAGTGTCTCCACGCGTTCAGGCCACCTCCACACGGTGGACACATGGCCCTGCCAAGCCTGCCGCTTGCCCAGCGTCATCCACGGCTCCCACCCCCCTCCAAGGCTCCCACCCTCCTCGGGGCAAAGATCCCCCCCACCGTGACCGCAGCCCACAGACCACCCCGTGAACCACTGGCTCTCTGCCCCAGGCCCTTTGCACCAGTTGCTCCTCTGTCTCGACCCCCAGTCCACTCATTCAGTCAGTCTTGGTGGGCACCCCGGCCACCCACTCTAAGTGTCAGGCTCTATTTTATTTCCCTCCTCCACCCCCACGCCGCACCAGGCCGCGCTTTCCACGTCTCCATCCTGCCCTTTTCGCGCTCTGCCACTGGAGGGCGGGCACCTAGAGCTGACACTATCATTCCGGCTTCCTGAGCATGGAGCCCAGCAATCCGCAGGGAGAGGGTCCCATTTCCACACCACGGGCCCCACATGGCCTGCTTGAAATCACTTTTCTGCCTGGCACGGTTAGATGGTTAGCTTCCCGGGCAGGCACATGCCCGGTCAGTAGGGGGCTTGCAGGACCAATGATTCTCATCATTGATGTTTCTTCCTCTCCCTCTCTTCCTTCCTCTCTCTGAAATCAATAAAAACATTTTAAAAACTGACTTTTCTGCCATCACTGAAGCCATTAGGGAGTCCAGGGGCCCGCCCGGCCTGGAGCCCCGGCCCGACTGGCTTGGCGCTTCCCCAGCCCCTGCTCTCTCGAGAGCACACCTGGCCATGGAAACTTGGGTGCACGAGTATTAACAAGTTGAATCAGTTGTTTCAAAATTCAGGAGCTGGAGCATCGGTGGGGGCCCCACAGAGCAGAGCAGAGACCACCAGGGGTCCGTGTGTGTGCCCACACTGGGCCACCGCCCACACTCACGCAGGGCTTTGGGCTGAAGTGGGATTCTCAGTCCTTTGCTGCCCAGCTGGGGAGGAGGTGAGGCTGCTGGTCTTTAAAGCTCCAGGTGTTGCCAATTTTTAAAGGATCAAGAAGGCGAGATTTACACACCGGCCACGCGGGGTCACCCTTGGGCAGCCCGTCTGTTGGCCCCTAGGGCGGTGTGGATGTGGCCAGGCTCACCCCAGCCCGGCATTGCCGGTCACTCTTGGGCACTTTTGTTCCCCATTTCTCAAATGAGGAAGTGGGTTCCAGATGTCCAGGCTCCCCGGGCCGGGGGTTGGGGGGAGGCCGATGGCCTGCCAGCTGGGCTCGGGGCAGGAAGTGGGTTTCTCATCACCATCCACATTCACCCCTGTGTGCATCCTCCTATCCCCTCATAATTGTTCAATTATGAATTGTGTAACACGTGCGAAAAGACCCGCCTCCCAGCTGAAGAAACACCTACACTCTCAGCTGTCCAGACCGGGCGGGGCGTCGGGGGGGACGGTGGGGAGCTGGCTCTGACTTCTCAGTTCCTCTCTGCGGGGTTACAGCAAGAGGAAGAGGGGGAGTGACCTGAATCTGAACTCGCAAGGACTCAGCTGAGCCCGAGGGCAGCAGCTTGTGGTCGGAGGGGAGGGGGAAGAGCGCTGGCCCTCGGCGGCGCTCCAGGGCCTGTCCACCTGACTCTTCCCGAGCCGCCGCCCCGGGGAAGCCTCGCGGCTCCTGCAGTCAGCACCCAGGCCAGCTTTGTGCTGCCTTCCTCTTTGGAACAGGGACGAAGGTGTTTGTCACCGGGGGTCGCTTTAGCTGACAGTCACTGGGCTCTAGTGTTCTCCATGGTACCCATGTCACCCAGGGGGGATGAGTGGAGGGGTCGGCCCTCACGGCCACTCCCTCCAAAGCCTGGGCACTTCTCTGAAGTAATCGCTGAACCAAAGTCCAAGTGCAGAGCGGGCGGCGCCTTCACCCTACAGGACGGGACGGGAAGGGACTGGCTTCCGATTTTGTCCTAAGTTGGCCCCCGAGGCTAGCTTATCTCTAGGGTGAAACGGGAGAGGCACTGGCCAGCGTGACTGTCAGCTGCTTCCTAACTCAGGAGTCAGCTTCTTGGCCCTCCACTGAAGCAGGACGTCTCCTTCTGGGGGGCTGGAGACCCAGGCCTGAGCCCCACCTCCAGCCCAGGCCGAGCCCCCTTGAAGCTGGCCTGGAGCAGGCTGGGGCTCACCGAGGCCGCCTATGGGCTTGTCTGCAGCCAGCAAGCCCGGGCCTGCATTTGGGGTGTGTTTGGGGTGCAGTGCTCCTAGTCCCTGGCCTCCAGGCACCTCATGCTCAGCACCTGCTCCCAGGTCCCTGCCAGGGACTTTCATCACCCGAGGCCGATTCCCCAAACTCCATCTTCTGTCTCCACCCAAAGCCCAGCCCTTGGGGGATGACACGCAGGCCCTGGATGGAGGAGGGGGCCTGTGAGTCCTCCTCGGGCTGCCCACCCTCCTCACCTCCTTCCTGCAGCCTCTGGGCCCTCCCTGCCCTGCCTCAACGCACCCCGGGAGGCCCCCCCCTGGAGAGCACACGCAGCCTCCGCTCAGCGTAAGGCCCGGGGTGGGCCCTCCTGCTTCCACATGTGCACGTGTGTCCGTGCCTGTCTGGGCCCCGGAGCAGAGGGCAGCCCCTGGCGGTACCACAGAGGCTGCAGGGAGGGCACAAGCTGTCCCCATCACCTCCTGGCTTCTGGGCTTCTCTTGGAGGCAGCCTGGTCTGGGGTGCGAAGCTGCCTGGGCCTGTCCTGACTCAAGCTCTGGGCCAAGCCCTCCCCAGCAATTTCCTGCCCCTCCCCCAGCTGCCATGTCACTGGGAGCTGGGAGCTGGGGGAGCCCCTCCCCACCTCTGGGTGGATTTTCCCTCTCCCAACACAGGGCGCAATGGGTGCTGTTTGTAGCCCAGATCCCCACAACCAGAGGGTCTGGGCCCCCAACCAAGGCTTACACAGCCACCACCCACGCATGGAGGCCTGGTCCCCGCACTGAGGCCATTGGAGCCTTCCTGACCCTTGAGTCTCAAGGCTGGGCAAGCAGATCCTTTATCTCTAATCCTCTTAACAAGGCCCCGGGACCCAGTCCTGGGAGCCCTGCAGCTCTGACTGTGCTGTGGGGCCCCTGACAGCCGTCTGACTCAGTGTGTACGTGGGCCGTGTGACTCAGGCTGAAACGCTGCCGGAGGCTTGTGGTTCTGAGTCTGATGCTGCTTCTGTGCCATTGGGGGTGGGGGGTGGGCAATGAGACAGTGGAATCCAGGAACTGAACCAAGACTGGGGTGGCCCCCAGCCTGCCAACTCTGGGTGTGGAAGAAGCAGGGAAGCCTGGATGCCAGGACAGAGAAGCCCTTGCCCATCCCCCAGGCAAACTCAGGGCCTGGGAGCAACCTGGCCACACGGACGCACTGCCCTGGAGCCCCCATCTCAGGGCCAGACGCTGCTTGCCTGGGACCTCCCTACGCATCCTCCAGGCGAACTCCTTCCAGGGGCCACAGACTCCATGAGGACTGGTGGGGCCCCATCCTGCAGGCCCAGCTCTTCCTTGGTCCCCAACACCCCGAGCAAAGCAGGGTGACCCATCCATCTCGAGGGACTGCAGCAAGGGACCTAGGACCACCCACTGAGGGTGGCCAGCACAGCCCCCTGATGGTTCCTAACTGTCCTCATGGCCCCCGGGGAAAGTGGACCACCCAGGGGACACAAGTTCCTGTGAGCAGGGTCTCCTACAGGACTTCAGGTCGGTGGACACAGGACACCGTCAGCCAGCCCGGGAGAGGGGGAACCGGTCCATGTTCACAGACACAATGACGACAAAACCCCGCAAGGCTCAAGGCAACCAGATCTAAGTCTTCACTTTCAAACTAAGCTGGTGGCACAGCCAGGAGCCAACGTGCAGCCCCGAGTCCCTGGCCTCCCTGGCCTCCAGGCTCGTGAGTTCCGCACACTGCTGCCCACCCCCCGCTCTTTGTACAAGATGTCCCTCAGCCTGCTGGACAGTGTGCGGCCACATCTGGTCGGGGGAGGTCCGTGCGGGTTCAAGTTCCGGGTCTAGTTGACTTGGGAGCCTCTCCCTGAGGCCTCTTGTTCACTGGGGCTCAGTCCCACGTCTGGTCAGCTCACTGATCCGCTGGTCCTTCAGCTTCACCAGGTGCTCCAGCCTGATGACCTTCATCTGCAAAACCTTCAGGGAGACACACGTCTCTCGCCCCGCCCACCTGCCAGAGCCGGGCAGTTTCGGCCCGAGCTGAGCGTCCAGCCAGCCATGCTGCAAGGGGGACCCCGGAAAGGCCCCGCGGAAGTCGCAGGAGGGGCGGCCTCCTCCCCGCTTGCCGCCGAGCGCTGGCCCGCCGTTAGGGGGGCAGTCACTGCGGATGGACGGTGTGCCAGGTGTCCTTCTAAGAGTTAACAGTCAAGAGCATGTCCATGTGCAGATGACGTGTGGCAGAACTGTCCACTTGAACCCTATATGATTTTATTGACCCATGTAACCCAATGAAGTCAATTTTTTAAAACCTGCCGACAAATCATCTTTATCAGAAAAAGAAGTTTCATGAAGAACGGGAGCCACCCCAGCCTCCTCCATCAGGACGGCCACGCCACCAGGCTCCCCTGCTTGGAAGCGCCGACCCGCCGCACGCACAGGCAAGTGGAAGAGAGGGATCTGAAAACGCTCATCTGCCCCCAACACCATGTGCAGAGTGAAGTCAGCAGCAGCCGGCCCACACTCCGGCCGAGGACAGCCTGCTCCCGCGGGCCCCGGTGGCGGGGGCCACCAAGTGCTGCCCACCTACCGTATCCGGGCCACACCCCTCCCCCAGGGCCCGCTCCCCACTGTGCAGACTTCCTCCTTGGGCCAACACAGAGGAGCCTGCCTGCCCCACGTGCCCAGGCCCTCAGCTGCTGCCCCCTTGGCCCTGGGCACCTGTCGCCCCACCTGCAATATCCACTGAAACAGCCAGCGACATTCTGAATGGCACGTAGAGCCGCTTCCCCCTCTGGGTTGCATAAAGCACAAGGTTATAATCCCCTTTGTCAGCTCCTGCGTGGACCAGAGCCCCGGGCTATGTCAGACCTCGCTGAGGTAGTTGCTTCACCTCTCATCGCTTCCTCTCTGCTGTTCCTCAGCAAAGGCAGACCACACCGTGACATCACTTCCTGCATTCTCAAGAAAACAGCTCACCAATGGGGAAGCATCTCTCATTTTGGAAAATCCTAAAATTACTAGGCCTACAAATTAGGCAAAACTAGATTTGAATTATTTATCCAAATTTGCTTCTTAATTGCCGGCCCTAGACAAACTAGTTAAAATTTTTTCTCAGATTCCCAAGATGGGGGATATATGTTCTAAATTATTTTAGCAAGTTATTGCTCTACAGTCCATCACATAAATGTTCCTAAATTCCTGCGAATAAGTGAAAATGAGTTATTAGGCTTGGGGGAGGGGAGAAACTGGGCACAGGAACACTTGCTAAGGTAGGTTACAAATAAAATACTTTGGAGAGAGATCAACCAAAGGACTTGTATGCATGCATATAAGCATAAGCGATGGATGTGGACAACAGGGGGTGAGGGTGAGGGCAGGATTGGGAGGATGAGAGGACATTGGGGGGATAAGGACACATTTGTAATATCTTAATCAATAAAGGGAAAATAAATTTTAAAAAAAAAGGAAATTGTAAAAAAAAATAAAATACTTTAAAAAGAAAAAGAAACAGCTCACCAAGCCCAGGACACCCACCAGGGAACCACCCTGTCATCACAATTCCTGCCGGCCCCTTGGACTCTGAGCAGACCGGTGTGGCCTGCACCCCTCCCCCACCCCCACTGTCTCAGGCCCCAAGCTGCGACCTATGCTCTCATAGGGTGGTCATTCTCTAGCAGCACGGGGCCTGAGCACTTCCTGAACTCAGGACCACTGCAGACCCTTGGTGCTCTCAGGACCAGGCCTGCACCTTGAGGACTATCTTCTGCTCCCTGACGTGGCCCTGGGCCTGCTGTCCATCACATCGGGGCGGTGACGCCTGTAACTGTCTGCAGCCCCCCGGAATGTGGGCCCTGGGGCTTGGTATCTGGGGAGGCTCGATGGTGAGTTCTTGGGGAGGGGGCACTAGACTCTTCTCTATGCTTCTGGATGTGTTTTGAATATTCCATAGTAAAAAATAATCCAGCCCTGGCCAGGGTTGCTCAGTGGGTTGGAACCTCTCCCTGTACATCAAAAGGTGGTGAGTTTGATTCTTGGTCAAGACACATACCCTGGTCCGGGTGTGCAGGAGGCAACCACCAATGTTTCTCTCATATCAATGTTTCTCTCTCTCTCCCATCCTCTAAAATCAGCTAAAAAAATTTGTAATTAACAAAAAACACCTAAATGTGGGTTCTCCCTGGTTAGAGACCCTGCTTGCCCCACCCACTGCCATACCCCCCACTATGGGTCTGAGCTGCATAGAAGGGAAAGCAGGGCCTCCCCATAACGCCCACAACCAATTCCTCTACTTCCTGGGGGGTGGGCATGGAGGGCCACCCCGGTCCCCATACCTGGACGGTCTCCTGCAGAATGGCCAGCGCCTGCTCCTTTTCCTCCAGCAGCTGCTGCACCCCAGTGTTCAGGTGCTCCCGGGGCCCACCGGCGGGGCCCCGACTGAAAGGCAAACACCCGGCCTTTAACCCGGCAGCTGGCAGGAAAGGGTGGCTGGGGTGCAATGGAAGAGGGTTCAAGAGATGGAGCCCACCCTCTGCACGCATAGTGTCCCGTCTTCTCTGCCCTCTGACTCTGAAGGGTCTTTACGCCGGAAGGCACTGGGGAGCTCGGCAGGCCTTCGAGACAAGTAGACATGACTCAGGTCCCCAGGTCAGAGAGGCGCCTCGCCAGCAGCAGCACACGGGGTGAGGGCGAGCCCACACAGAGAGTGCCATGTGGGCCCGGCCTGGCCTAGGCGGTCCCGAAGTGCAGCCTGGATGCCTCCATTTGGAGATGTGCCCATTGAACAACAGCCGCCCCGCGTGGCCCCTGGACAGAAGCCGTGGGCCCCCACTCAGGATGGCGTCAGGGCCCCTCTCAGGCCCCTCAGGGCGAGCAGCTGCCCTCCTGGAGGCCACCAGCCCCACTGGGCCCTGTGTCACCTGAGGACACCTGCCCTCCCTTGCAGGTGTGTGAACTCGAGGGCGCCACACGCCTGTCTCGATGGTGCTGCCCGTTTCCCACACACATCAGGGGTCTGGGTACTACCAGCGTGGGGGGTGGTCGCGAGCCCCAGCCACAGTCCATCAGCATCCGCACTGGAGACTCCTGGGTCCTGCAACGATTTCAGAGGTTGGGCTGTGAGAGGCAGCCCAGCAGGGCTCACACCAGACCTTGTAGCCAACTGGCCCCCCTGCATGTCCCAGCCACAGAGGGAGGGGCACGGGAGGGGGTATGGCCGGTGCGGGCCTGGGGACGAGCATTGTGAAAAGGGAGTTTCTTGCCGAAACCGGTTTGGCTCAGTGGATAGAGCGTCGGCCTGCGGACTGAAGGGTCCCGGGTTCAATTCCGGTCAAGGGCATGTGCCTGGGTTGCGAGCACATCCCCAGTGGGAGATGTGCAGGAGGCAGCTGATCGATGTTTCTCTCTCATCGATGTTTCTAGCTCTCTATCTCTCTCCCTTCCTCTCTGTAAAAAATCAATAAAATATATTAAAAAAAAAAAAAAAAAGGGAGTTTCACCGTCCCAGATGGACCAGGGGACCAGGGGCTTCATGACCACTCATTTCTTGCTTTCAGTTTCCCACTGGCAGACGGCAGGCTCAAAGGCGGTACGTACAAATGCACCGACGAGCACGCCTGCGCCAGGTGGGTCCTCGCGGACAGCGCCGTCCACCACCTTTTCCTTCAGCGCGCACAAGATGGGCTCGATGGCCCCGGGCGTGTTGGCCACCACCTTTCGGATATCCCCCTCTGAGACACAGAAACGCAGCTTGTGAAAGACTTTCCTGTGAAGGAAGGGGGTGTGGCCCTCAGAGCAGTGCGCCCCGGCTCTCCGCGGAGGGGACACTGGGGCTAGGGCTCCTCCTGGCCCTGCACCTGCAGAGGCCTGTGGCCATCTCGTTCCCAGCCGCCCCATGAATACTGGGTGCCCTGTGCGCTCAGGCCTGGACCCCCATCTCCCTGATGGGCATCTCCGGGACACTGCACGGTAGAAATCACCTTCCTGCTGAGTCACCCTCGGCTCTGAGGAAGTCTGAGGTTCACCTCCAATGCCCAGGACCTGGCTTCTCACCACCGCTGCCACACACATCTGCCTGCAGCTGCCACCTCCCCTCCCAGCCTCCGAAACAGGCCTCGACCCTGCAGTGCCTCTCAGCCCCAGGCTGGGCGCAGGGCCCTCGGCACAGTCTCCAGGGACCCTCCCCATCCAGCTCCAACCCCTCGGGTCACCACAGGGCTCTGCCCTCTGCCCCCACGGCGACCCCCTCCGCACCCACAGGTCGCCTCCCATCGCTGTCTGTCACTTGCTCAGGGGCCCTGCCTCATCCTCCGTTGCACTCATCACACCTGACACATCTCCTTTATGTGTCTTCCCTCTAGACCAGTGACGGCGAACCTTTTGACCTCGGCGTGTCAGCATTTTGAAAAAACCTAACTTAACTCTGGTGCCGTGTCACATATAGACATTTTTTTATCTTTGCAACCATAGTAACACAGAGACTTATATTTTTGATATTTATTTTATATATTTAAATGCCATTTAACAAAGAAAAATCAACCAAAAAAATGAGTTGGTTGACACGCGTGTCATCGGTTTGCCATCACTGCTCTAGACTCAGCCCCATGAAGGCAGAGGTCATGTCTGCAGTGCCTGGAGCAAAGCCCTGCACCCTGAACTATTGTTGAGTGAGAGGTGTGGTCGGCATAGGCGGGACACACGGTCCCAGGGCAGGACCAATACCCTAGTGAGTGAGTCTCAAGCTGACCAGTGCTGTCCTCTTGGTGGGGAACCCCCAGGAGCCCCAGGTTGATGGTGAAATTCTGATAGGAACACGGATACTGGCATGGTGTCAGGGAAACCCATAGCAAGGAAACAGCCTGAGAACCTGTCCTGGAGACCAGGAAGGGTGGGGGAGAGGGAGTTCCCCCCCCCACCCCCACCCCCCGAGGGCGGACTGGGGGCTCCAACAAGAACAGGCGGGGGGTGGAGCGCCTGCCTGTTGAGGGTGCTCCAGTTGCTGAGCTTCTGGTCCGTGTTGCAGGTGGGGACGTAGTTGTGCAGGTCCACCAGCCGGGGGTGGTAATGCTTCACAATCTCCGCCAGCATCACTGGGGGTGGGGTGGGGGGCAAGGTGAGCCTGGCCCGCCCAGCTAGGAACCCCTATTTACTTCCAGCCTCAGTCTCCATGGCCCCGAGGTGGATGAGGACAGAGAGCGGAGTCCTGGGGGAGCGATCACTGGGACCAAGGTGTGGGTGCTCCAGGGGGAGGGGTGTGGAAACCGGGTTCAGAGGTGCTGGAGGGAACCCCGAGTTTGCACCACCCGCTCCAGGGAATGCCGGACGGAGGAGGGGAATTGCCGAGTAACGGGGCTGAATGCACAACGCGGCCCCTCTCCGCTGCCATCCTCCTCCTCCTCCCGGGGCGTCAGTGCCCCCACTTGCCCGCATCCTGCGCATCCCTTTAGGGGCGCCCCTCACACCCTGTTCTGGGGTCTTCAGCACTCTACAGGGAGCCCGGGGAGCTGGGACACTTCGCGAGACACCGGCCCTAGCCGGGCCATCGCGTCTGGCCGGCCACATCCCGCTCCGCCTGGGCCCGTGCCTCCCTCACCGCCGTCGCTGAAGTCCCGGGCCAGGTGGCGCTTGGGACGGCTGAGCGGCAGTCGGTCCAGCCAGGCGTACAGGCCGCGGAGCGCGAGGGGAGACGGCGGCGGCGGGGCCGGGGAGCTCGGTCTGGCGGCGCCCAGCATGGCTGCGGGACTGATTGTTGCCGTTGCTAGGAGACGGCGCCGGAAGGGGCGGGTCGTTGGGCCGTTGCGGGGAGACAGGGGGCGGGGCCGGAAGGGCGGGAGTTTTGTAGGTGAGGGTGGACTTCCGTGGTTGGGCTGGGGCCAAGGGTCAGTGCGCCCAGACCGCTCAGTTTGAGGGGGCGGGGGTGTCTTATGATCACGTCGGAGAGCAAAGAAGGTGAAAAGCCGCCGTCCTTGAACAGTGCACATTTTATTTTAACACGCGTTGGAACCTTAACTATTACAAATTGAATTCCACCCAATAAAAATCTCCAGTCATTTAAAAGTTGATCAATAATTTAATCGTAAAACCATACTTTTTTTTTAAATAGCAGGGAAACAGGCTCTGAAAATTGAGGGGCTTGCAGTCTGGGGGTGCCGGAGCACACCAGCAGGACTGGGAAGCACAGCACACGGGCCTTCCACCTGGGGGGCCTGGGGGGCACAGCAGTGCGGTCGGACACACCCATTCGCAGGCCACGCAGCAGCCCCAGCCTGGGGGAGCTGAGTGTGGCCAACGTGGGTGAGAGTCAGGAACCCCAGCAGAGTCCTGACCGAGCGGCCCTCGGCTGTGACCCTGGGGTGCTGAAGCAAGACCTTGGCCACAAGGAAGTAGCTCGTCTGCTGGGACTTTTCAGAGTGGGCCCAGCCCACTATGGGGGCACTGCAGGGGCTGGCACCGGGTTCTTTCAACATGAACAGCTTGCAGACAGGTGTGCGGGTGCCCCAAGGGGCATCATCTCCTTAGGACGGGGGGCTTCAGGGCAACCTTTGGGCCAACTCCCTTGAAGGAGGAAACAAGAAACAATAAAAACCACCTGCTATGAAGAGTACAACTGAATCTTATTTCCTTTCACACTTATTAAAATTTAGATTCTTCGTTCAGCCAGCAATATGATGGCCCCTGCATACAACAATAACAGTGACGGCCGCAGTGCTCACAGCTAACACTGGATAAAGGACAGACTTTCGTACTTAGGCTAGTAGGGGAAGACAAATGACCAGCCAGTAGGAGCAGCCATCCCTGAAAAGTCCTCTGGCAGAGTATACAGCAGAGGTTAGAATATACCTACAGCTAACATTTCTCCTTTTAGCTGACAGTGTAACCAACCTCCGGGGCAGTGCCCTGGTCAGCCTGCTCCACTGCCCCTGCAGGTGACACTGCTCTGGCGGGGGAGGCTCACCTCAGTGGTTCCAGGGTTGGCCCCTCCAGCCTTGGGCTTGGCTGGTGGCATTGGGGGCACGGAGGTTGGCTTGATCACCTGGGAGGAAGCAGACACAGTGACTGGATGACACCTACCTGTCCCGAACTGGGCACAGCACTGTCTTCCCTTGTGCTCGGCTCTGCTCCAGACCGGCCCGCAGGCTTCTCTGCTGAGCTCTCTACAGAGAAGCCCCACCCAACACCCTCCCTCCACCAAGGCCAGAATGAAACCCAAACCAGTGGGACATGGCTGCCCTCTCCCCAAGACCCCTAGACCACCCCAACTTTACCAATAAAAAGCTTTTAAAACTGCCGGAATGTGGGTCTTGGAAGTTCAAAACCAAGAATTAACAACTAAAATTGGCTTTTTTTTTTTTTTTCATTTTAGCTTTCCCAGGGTGACAGGGGGTGGGACTCGGGATGGAGGTGGAAGGCTGACCAGGCCTGGCCCAGCCATGCTCAGCCCTGGCCACACACCCTAGCATTTAGGAGGCCTGGGTGGGGCCCAGCATTTGTAGTTTTCTATAACCCAGAAGGACCTTGGTGAGCAGCTGGTCCCTCACAGCCTCTGCCTGGCTATCTCCACTTTCTGGGCCAGAAATCTCTGCCTACCCTGGCCCCCATCTGGCTGGTCAAAACCCCTCCTTAGACCATCTTTGTAACTTTCTGTAAGTCTAAAATTAGTTCTAAATAAAATGTTTAAAAAGAAAGCAATAGAGAATATCTATTAAGCAAGCACCATAGTGAAGGCTGTTATAGGGAGATCCATGTGTGTCAGTTAAAAAATTAATAGAACCCTGGCCAGTGTGCTAAGTGGTTAGAGCGCTGGACCCCCCCCCCCCCCCCTCCACACACACACACAAGGGTCACAGGTTCAAATCCTAGCCCCGGTCGGGGAGCATGGGGGAGGTAACCAATAGATGTGTCTCTCTCACATCGATGTTTCTCTCTCTCTCTCTCACCCTCCCTCCCTCCCTTCCACTCTCTCTAAAAATGCCTCTGGTGAAGGTTAACAACAACAAAAAGGTTATACGAATTGCATCTCTCAAAGTACCTCCAAGATATCGAGGCCACAGGGAGAAACCTGTGTGAGTCAGCATCCTGGGTAATAGACAGACAGGTGGACAACAGGACACCTGGTGGGTGGAGCCTGTCCCAGGAGCGGGTGGTGACTGGTCGAGAAAGCCTGGCTGTTCCTGCCACCCCCACTTTGTCAGAAGCACAGGCTGGTATTGGTCCAGGGCCAAGGTGGGTGGTGAGCAGGCCCCAGCAATAAGGAGCCCACAACAGCCAGACCTCTGTGATCTGCCCGAGAGACTCCGGGGTAAGCCTAAAGGTGGTGAGGCCGGCAGGGGGCACTCCAGAGGAGAGCACCCCACACTCTCCTGTGGGGTTTGGGGTGTCGGGAGGCTGGGGGTCTGGCCAGAGGGGAAGGGAACAAGCATAGCCAAGGGAGTCTACTAGTGGCCGAGTGGCCAGGTCCTCTCACCTGTCTGGGCTTCTGCTCCGGGAGGGGCTTGGTGGGAGGAGCAGGTCTGAGCTGGAGGGAGGAACAGTCAGGAGCCCAGGCCCCCAGGTTAATGTCCTCACTGGGCCCAGGTGATCAGCCTCTGAAAGTGGGGCGGCTGCACCCTGGGGTCCCAGCCTCCCAAATCCAGCCCTTGGACCCCCCACCTCCTGGGACCCCATTTTCGCCACCTACACTGCCTGGTTGGGGGCCCCACCACCACTCACCTGGGCTGGGGACTGCTGGATGTACATGGGAACTGGGAAGGGTGGGCTGGACATGGTGGCCGGAGGCTGCAGGGAATAGGACCGTGAGCCTGGGTCTCCCCTCGCCGTCACCCAGCCCCCCAGCCCCCTAGCCCCCCAGCCCCCCAGCTCAGGACCTGAGGTTTCTGCCCCTCCCAGAGGGAGAATAAAGCTCCAGGTGTGTGTATGTATGGCGGCTCTGCCCCACCACCAGCAGGGCCCACAGCCCGAATGTGACCTGCACGTTCCCTTTGCTCAACCGTGTGAACGCTCTGAGGTGCTGGGTTGCAGCAGAGGGAGACTGGCCCTCAAAACTGTCCTCAGGCCCTGCAGCAGCCTCGAACCTGATTCAAGTTCAATGGCCAATTCTGTCATCAGTTGCGTGGGTCCTCAGACCTCCCATCCTCAAGCCTCCTTCCTGCCTCCCAACAGGGTGACCATGGCTGCTGCACTCAGGCCCTGGTGGAGCGCCCTGGCCCAGGGATTAGGTGGCCTGGGGAGCGGCTGGTGCTTACAGCAGGGGGTGGCCGTGTAGGGGTCACTGCAGAAGCTGTGGGCCGGGGGAGCGGGCCGGAGTGGCTGGCATACATGGGAGTAACCGGCTCTGGGGAGTGCGTGGTGGGGGCCGGAGCCATGCCCTTCTCTGGCCCGAAGCCCCTCTTTTGGAACAGGGGGTTGGAGAGCCCCATGGCGGTCTTGGGTGTCACGTTCCTGCCAAGAAAGTAAGATGAGTCGGTGCATCCTGGCCTCAGGGTCCAATCCAGGGATGTGGGGTCCCCTGAGCATGAGGTCCCCTGGCCTGGCCTCCGTATCTGCCACCCCCCACATGGTGCACCAGCCACAGCCACTCAAAAAGGAGAGGCAGCCTCGTGTGCGTTTTCCTGCAACTGGCACGGGGTCCAGGTCCCGACGGGGTGGGCGGCTGTTGAGTGGGTGGGGTGGGCAGTTCTCTGAGCCCATGCTATCCCCAAAGTGCCAACACCTACCAGGGTCAGGTGTGCGTGGGGGTCCGGGACCATCTCTCTGGGCTTACCATATCCCCAACCTGTCACCAAAATTTGTCACCTGTTCCCACCCCACGACAGGCCCTCGGGGACCCGCTGTGGGTTCTCTTCTTCCTCCAGCAGCAGCGGGGCCGTTTCCCAACAGCGAGGAGGGGATGTGCTTGTTGCGCAGGGACATTGTGCAACCCTCACCTCCCTCGGATGTGGCTCCCAGCCTTGCGGTAGACGACCACGCCCAACACGGTGAGTGCCAGGGTCACCAGGAGCACCACAGGCACCAGTACGCTCATCAGGAGGCTCCCGGATGCTGTGGGGAACATGAGACCAGGTGTCCATGGGGCAGTGGGGTTGAGAGGACAGACAGGAGCCTTTCTGGGGCCCCTTCTTGACCGGAGCCCTGGCCTCTCCCCTGCAGCCACATGCCCATCTGAAGACCCTTCTCCTGTGGGGCTGAGGTGGGGTTACTGGCTCTGGGCCCTACCCTAGACCCGTGAGGTCAGGATGCCCGGGCCTGCAAGTCTGACTCTTTAACAAAGCACCAATGGTGTGGGGGCACGCAGCTTCCTTCTCACTGCCCAAGTGGTCCCGCTGCCCCTTCGGGCTGTGTGGGTGTGGAGGCCCAGGGGGCCGTCGGGCTCTTACCTACGCGCAACTCAGCCAGCAGCTCTGTGCAGTGGGGTGGGGCCCAGCCCGGTTGGCAGTGACACTGGCCCTTGTGGTTGCACACCTGGGGGACAGCCAGGCGTCAGGAATGGGCCCCGGACCCTGCCTGTGCTACATCGCCCAGTGTCCACCCAGGAGTCACCAGGCCCAGCCTAGGCCTGTGAGGGCTCTGCCATGACTGACGGGGACAGGCTGGGCTTGTCCATGGACCTGGCTCCTACGTCCAGGTGTCCTTGGCTGTCACACACGCTGACGGCAGCAGCCCCAGCCTATGTGTCCACAGGCGCCACCACCGCCAGGACTGAGGGTCTACACGGGGCCCACAGATCCTCGCCAGCTCCAGGCCTCTGCCCTCTGTCCACCCAGGCTCGCCCTGAGCGTGGCCTATAGTCTCCTTCACCCAAAGGCCCACGCACCCCATGGCCATTGCACTGGGCGGAGCAGTTTCTGGACCGGTAAACGTGGAAGTCTTGGCACAGTCCTTTCCAACACACCTGGAAGGCGGGGGGAGGGGGGCAGGGGGGAGGTGTCTCATTAGGCAGTCGGTCTCAACCCCTGACCCCACTCTCCCCCAGCGCGGAAGCCCACCCGGAACCTGCAGGTGAGCTTCAAGGGGCAGGCCGCGGCCACCACAGACAGGCAGGCCTTGTCTGCAGCCCTTCTGCTGGCAGGCGGACCACAGGGCACAGAGGACTGCCCCCCCCCCCCCCCCCCCGGCCTCTGGGGGACTTGCAGACGGAAAGGTCTTCAAACCGCGGCAGCCAGAACGGCTCTTCTGGCGCCGCCCGTGTGCTAAGTTCCTACTGAGAACAGGGGGTCCGTCCATACGCACAGCCCCCCGTTGCCACCACCTCGCTTTGGACCACCTGAGCGTGCATGCGGGACACACGTTGGGGACATGGAGTCCAGTGGCCTGAGCGCCTCAGGGGGCACGTCCAGGCTTGTGTCTGGTCACTCACCCTCTCGTCGCCACACTTGGTGCCTTCGAGCACCCGCTCAAACCCAGAGCCACCGTCCAGGTTAAGAGCCTGGCAAACGGCTGAGCTGTAGGTGAAGGTGCAGGAGGCCCGCTCTGGAGGCTTCTGCCCACCTTCACAGAACAGGGTCTCGCACCCGGCCCTGTGAACAGAGAGATTTGCGTGGTCTCCTGTTCCGTGCATGCTGACGTGCTCAGTGGGGACCTAGGGGGCTGCCAGGAAACGAGGCCCAGGACCCTTGGACGGGCTGTGGGGTTCACTGATGGGGCATCCACCCCCCTCCCCCAGGGACAGGGTGGTCAGGCCTGACGGTCCTGGAAGACAGGGTGGGCCACACAGACCCCTGACTCAGGCCCCTCCTCCTTTGCGTAGAGAACTTTCTTGGGAGACCCCACCTGTGGGGACATCCCTGGAGCCAGGGGTGTGGGGCTTGGCTGGATGCTCACCTCTCGGCACCAAGGCGGGCATTGCTCTGGCAGCCTGGTAGGACACTGAAGGAGTAGCACGTCTCCCGGGCAGTCTGTGTGCCTGCAGGCCAGGAGCAGGTGAGTCCCCCAGCATCGGACCCGAAGCCACCCCCAGGACTGTGGGTCACCTGCCGCCCGCCTCACCTGGCCCCCACAAGTCCTGGCACCTCTGGGCCCGCGTGGGGCAGGCCCCGTTGTAGCAGTAGCCCCCCGGGCACGGCATGCCGTTCTCCTGGAAGGTGTCTTCTGGGCAAGAGGGCCGCTGGCCATCGCAGTACTCCTCCAGGTCACAGGCGTCCTTGCCGGGGCGGCACAGCTTGCCGGCCGGCTTCACCTGGCCCAGCAGAGTGAAGCTCACCATGGGAACGGCAGGCCCCAGGCTGCTCTCATCACCACCATCCCCGGGGCCCCTTCCCACCCGCTGACTTTGGGGCACAGCGGGCGGGGTCAGGAAGGGCCTGTGCTCACCCTGCACTCATGGCAGCAGGCACCATGGGCACACTCGGCCCCCTCGGCCAGCTGGCAGGTGGTGGTGTTGCAGCAGCGGTCCCGACAGTCCTGGGGGACGGACAGGGCAATGCCGAGGGTCTGAGCACCGGGCTCCAATGGCCCCGCGGCCCACCTCCCTCCATGACCCACCATCAGGGCTGGGGCCTTCCCACGGATCCCCTGCAGGTGGATGTGGGCGTCAGAAGGCAGGGGTGTGTTCTGACTGGCTGTGGGCATGCAGGGCGCCAGGCGGGTCAGGAAGGACGCCCTAAGCTGTGGGACTGAGACCCGGGGCTGGTGCAGGGCAGAGGGTGGCAGTGCCGGGCCCTGTACCTGGGGGTAGCCGCAGTCACACTGCTCCCCTTGCTCCACAAACCCGTTCCCGCACACGGGGCCGCCCACCAGGCGGTCGGGGTCTGGAGCATTTGCGATGCAGGTTATACGGGGCTTCTCCACGAACGTCTCCAGGTCGTCCTGGCTGCACTGGCTAAACAGGGTGGGGAACGTGGAGCTGCGGGGAGAGGTGTCTCTCAGGGGAGGGGGCGTGGGCAGGCCACCTGCGCCTCAGGACAGCCTGCTCTGCAGGGGCCCTCAGTCAGGACTGCGGTGGGCCTCACCCGATGCTGCCGGCCATGACGCAGCCGCCCCTGGTGCGTGACTCGGGGCAGTAGCAGCCCTGGACGTTCTCATCGTGGTCCATGCCCAGGTTGTGACCCATCTCGTGGGCCAGGGTGCATGCCACACCGATGGGGTTCGGGCTGTGGTCCTGCAGCGAGAGGCTGTGCTGGATGGGGCCCACTTGGCCCAGTCACCTTCCTGCCGGCCCTGCTGCCCCAAGCAAGGCTGGCATCACTTCCTGCCAACACTTCTTAAAACATAAAAGCATCGCCCAGTGGCTCTGCTGGCTGGAGCATTATCCCGTACACTGAAGGGCTGTGGGTTTGATTCCCAGTCAGGGCACACACCCCGGCTTTGGGTTCGATCCTCAGTCGGGGTGCTTGGGATCAATGTGTCTCGCGCTCCCTTCCTCCCTCTCTAACTATTAATAAAAACCATATCCTGGGTGAGGATTTAGAAAAACACAAGCCATCAATGCACCCTCCTGAAGAGGCAGCCGGTCAGGTGTTCATGGGGACAGACTGCCGTCCAGCAGGTGGACCTGAGCCCTGAGGTCTCCCCCGCGCGCATTCCAGCCCAAGTTCCAGGCCTGGCTCCCTACCCCACCCCGCTGGACCCCTCCGCACCTGGTTCACAGCCCCTGAGTTCTGGGAGCACATGGCAGACACCTTGGCCAGTCCCACAGTGGCCCCGGCGAAGTCGATATCACTGCAAGCAAGAGATGTGTCTGCAGGTGGACTCCCCTGAGTGGCCCCCGCGATCCCACAGCCCTTTGCTGGCAGTGGCTGTTCTCACTGCCCATCGCCTGCTGCCCACTCACGTGATGAGCTGGACGTTGTCGTGAGGGTGCCGCCCCACCAGGTTCTGTGCCCGCCAGGCCAGGAAGTTGTCCAGTGTGGCGCCGGCGTCGGAGCTGACCTGGATCTTGTCCCCGTGGTTCCAGATATCCAGGCCCACCAGGACCACGCGGAACTTGAGTTCCTGATAAAGCTGCAGGAAGACAGGATTCCGCGGGTCAGGGGCCAGTTGCCTCCTCATCGGCTCTGCCACCCACACCTCCCTCCAGGTGCCTCCTCCTCGTTGACAATCAGGGTTCTGTCAGGCTGGGTGACGTCCAGAATGGGCCTGTGTTGCTTGGGGTCCTGGAAGCCTCTGCTGGGGGAGGACCCCCTGGGAAACCCCCCCAGGGTAGAAACAGACGGCACCTTGTCCACGTGGTTCACCACCTCCAGCACCCGCCTGCGCACAGCTTCTCTGCTCCCCAGCTTCTGGAACTAATGACACAGACCCTCAGTCAGCAGCCCATGGATGGCTCGCCCCCTCCTGCACACCCCCCTGCCCATGGCACCTCTCTGCTGTCCGTGACCACGTATAGCTCCACAAAGCGGGTCTTTCGGGATAGTGGCCGGTTCTGCAAAACAGCAATGAGAAGCTGGTCAGCGGCCCCAGCCATAGGCCCCCTGACCTCGGCCCAGTCTTCACACAGACCATGTCCAGGGCCCCCTGCTCAGTGTTGGGGGACCTGTCTAGGAGGTGCCAGCGCAGACTAAGGAGCCGATTCCACAGCTGCTGGGCAGTCAGGCCCACTGGCCATCGGGATGGCAGGCAGCACCCTCATTCACTGAATACACGGGAGTCTGGGAGACTCGTAGGCCCAAGTGGCAGGGATGAAGCTGGGCAGGGCCTCCTCACCCGGGGCCTGAAGGCTGCCAACGTCCGGGGGCCCAGCATGCTCTCCAGGCTGGTGTTGCTGACCCCGCAGGTCCCCCCCTTCTGCTGCAGGTGCTGTGCCTTGTAGAGCGCGTGCTGCCCCTCTTCCCCGCTTCCATCCAGAGGCTCAATCAGGTGCACAGCCGAGCCTGCCTGAAAGAAGCCCCTGTGGGCAGAGGGGAGCAGGGGCTCGAGTCAGTGCCCCGCCCCCTGCGTGCTGCCCAGGGAGGGACAGAGGCCTGGAGGGACAGGAGGCCCCCACTCAGCCCTGGGACATGCAGGCGGACAGTGTCCAGGGCCCAGTGGGAGCCTTGCAGGTGGGGAACCTGTTGTTGTAAATAGAGCCCAGACACCCAGTGCAGAAAGGTGTCCCCAAGTCTGGCCCCTCTGTTCTCAGCCTCAGTTCACTTCTCGGGAAGCGAGGAGTGTGCTGGGGCCCTGACATTCTGACCCACTTCGCCCAGGTCTGGAGCACCCACCTGAGGCCATCACAGGTGCTGAGGCTGGCAGCGGAGAGAGGGTGCCCTTCCACGTGGCCCTGGTAGAAGCAGTGGTCCTGCGGGAGGCGGGCATGAGGGCTCTGCAGGACTCACTCCCAGAGCCCCCAGCCACCTTGGGGAGGGCCACCAGGCCGTACCTGCCTCTGCAGCTGCTCGGTCACCTGGGAGCCATTGGCAGCTGTGTAGGTCTCCGTGTAGCCCGAGCCCACCAGGTCCCTAGAAGAGAACCACTGTAGCTCACTGGGCCCCACCTGCCAGGGAGCTGGATGCCCAGGACACAGGTGTGCTGGGGGCAGGCCCGGCCCCTGCTCACCTGTTCTTTCGAAGGTGCAGGGTGAAGGTGTTCCCTGAGGCACCAAGGACATAACTCACACTCTCTGGGTACAGGCCCTGAGCCAGGAAAACAAGAGGGTTCTAAGGTGAGGGCCTTGCCTCAGGCTGTGCCTGTCTCAAACCTGGGGTGGAGCTCAGCTGACAGGGATGCAGCCCAAAACCAGCGGTTCTCAACCTGTGGGTCGCGACCATCGGAAAACACATATAGCATATCAGATATTTACATTACGATCCATAACAGTAGCAACATGACAGTTATGAAGTAGCAACGAAAATAATTTTATGGTTGGGGGTCACCACAACATGAGGAACTGTATTAAAGGGTCGCGGCATTAGGAAGGTTGAGGACCCTAGGGGTCGCTCAGCATCAGGCTAGTGAAGGATACTAGACCAGGCTGGGCTGTAATTCAGGGGTCCTGGCAGGCCTTGGGCCTCGGTTTCCCCATCTGTCCACACAAAGTCAATGACAATAATGCCCCTTCCCCAGGGAGCAAGGGGAGGGGAGATGTGGCCCTACAGGCAGCAAAGGAGCTCTGGGTGGGATAGCCCCTCCAGCCCCCCCCCCCCCGTACCCTCCCCTCAGGAGATGCAGTCCCTCCACCCCTTGTCAGGGACAGCATGCACCTTGCCCTCAGGGTGGAGTGAGGGTCCAGGGGGCTTAGTGTCCTTCCCAGACACCCAAGACAGGACAGGGCTACCCCCAATACACAGGCAGGCACATCCAATTCACACACACACACACACAATGCACATCCACATGGGTTCCAGGAATGACCCCAGGCAGCTCTGGGTATCTCAGCCCAAGCCAAAGCCTCTAGGAAAGGGTGTCTCTGCAACCACACAATGCAACAGGCTCTTGGGGAGCCAGCCACCCCTCTAGTCTGAGGAGGAATTTGACTTGTCACACTGCTGAGCGAAACCGGGGAGTGGCCGGGGAAGCCCCTGGCCCTGCCCACAGGGAGAGGCAGGGAGCAGGAAGGTGAGGCCTTGAGGAGGACAGCCAAGCCAAACACCAAGGACGTCACTCACACTTTCTGGGTACAGGTCCTGAACCAAGCAAACAGGAGGGGTCCAGGATGCGGAGCCCAGGTGGGTCTGCCCCAAAGCCCTCAGCCCACCTGGCCCTCAGCCCCAAGGCTGGCCCCTCACAACCGGCTGGGACACACAGGAGCTATCATCTTCTAATTGGGCGCTGTGGGGCCAGAGAGGGACCCCCCACACCACCACCAGGTCGTTGTCCGGCCAAGACTCACCACGCCGGAGGGCAGGGCTCTGCGGGCACGAGGACCTGGCAGGCGCTGGGGCCTCACCACCTCGTATTGCTCCACGTGGGGCAAGGGGGGACTAGGGGCAGCCACTGTGGGAGAGAAGGGTATCAGCAGGTGTGCAGGGCACCCATCCTCCTGCCCTGGGAGGCCCCTTCCTAGGTGAGACAGTGGGGACCAGACTCAGATCTGGCATTAGGAAGACAACAGGACCCCTGCTGGTGGGGCCAGGCAGACCCTGTCCTGAGGCAGCCCTTCCAGGAGCCCACAACTAACCGAGTAATTGCGTCTAACAGGGGAGCTGACCGGCCTCCCTGGCACTAGAAGCTCCCACATAGCCAACAACAGGCAGCAGGGCAGGCTGAGTTGGGTGCTGGAGATCAGCCACCCAAGACCCTGTCCTCTCCCTTTTAAGGTATTAACAGGTGTCTTGTGACCATTATCTTGCAAACCTCCAGGCTCAAGAGGCCCTGGGGCGCCCAACTCAGTCCTGTGGCCCCAGCCACTCGCTTGGTTGCCTCCACAGTGGGGATGGGACACCACAGAATCTAGACAGGAGGTTCCCAAGCCGGTTGGGGGCCAGAGCCAGCAGCCTGCTTGGTCCTCCCCAAGCAGGAGGAGGAAGCAAGTGGCTAGACATCCCCCCCTCTCAGCTCCAGGTGCTGCTCCTCAGTCCTCCCTTCCTTCTTGGGGTGGGGATCCGGGTAGGGATGGGCGATCACTGCTCTATCCCAGCCCCAGTTCCCACTAGGAGCCCAGGAATGATCCAGGCATGGGTTTCCCTCACTTCCCTTTTGAAGGTCAGTCTGTCCCCTCTCAGGGCCTCCCAGTGGGACCAGCACAGAGCACAGTGCGGGTACAGGCCAGGTGACCAGCCTCTGGCGGGGAGCAGCTCCCTCCCCCTGGTCAGAGCCCACATCCAGCACTCACCCTGCAGCCACCACACGCTGAGCAGCCAGACCCCGAGGTGGAGCATGGCCGAGGTGTGTATCGGAACTCAGGGGTCTAGAGCGCGGGTGGAGGTCTGGGATCACAGATGAGGATTCCGAGGTCTGGGATCCAGATGAGGGGAGGGTGGTGGAGTGTGGATGGGGATCCGGTGGCCTGGAGATCCGGGGTCTAGGATCCAACAGCACAGATGGGGGACTCAGGAACCAGCAGGCGCAAACAGGACGTGGGGATCCAGGGTCCAAAGTCAGCGGTGTGTGCAGGGATGTGGCTCTGCGATCTATGGAACACGTCTGGTCCCAACACTGGCCCTGAGGCTCTCCTAGGGGGCCCGCCCCAGACCCGCCCTTACCCACTAGGACCAGCCCTCCGGATGCTGGGAGGGGCGGAGTCTGGGGCACCTTGGTCAGGGTGCCCCGCCCCTCCCTTTTATCCTTCCTGCCCCATGCTCTTTGGTGTTCTTATGGCTACTGCTGGTCCCCTGGGGGCTCCTGGATGGTGCCCGCTGTCCAGCACATGGAAAAACTTCATAAATGTGGACTGAATTAAGGGAGAGGGAGGCAAACAGACTACTCTGAGCCCCTCCCTGCAAGGCTGGGCCCTGGTGGGGAAAGTGGCGTGTGAAAAAGGCTGTCTCGGGTGGGTGAGTCTGAAGGTGGGGGATACCCTGACTTCCTGGGGAACAGAAAGCTTCTACGGCAGCATGAAATCCACCCAGGCCCTGGTCCTACTCGAACGGGCTGCAGAGGCCTCACTGGGGAGGGGAGCACCGGGGTGCCATCCACTTCACCTTCACAGACCCTGTTCTGTGTAGAGGCCACTTCCAGGTAGGCTTGTCCATGGGAGTCGCCCAGCCCTGCTCTGGGGGGCCCCAAATAGCAGTGAAGGCAGCCTGCCCATGGGGACCTCCCCCTCGTTTCTGCCCTTCCTGTCCTGCTGGATGGGGTCACCCCACTCTGGCCTGACACAGAGGCTGGGGGTCCAGGCCTCCTGCAGCTGAGCTAAGTGCATTTGTCCACAATCCCAGACATGCTCCCTGGGATGCTGGGGTGACAGCATGTCAGGGACTCGAGAGGTGGTGGTGTCCACAGGTGGTTCCAGACCAGAGGTTAAAGTTCAGGGGGCCATTATTTCCCCCGAGGGAATGGCATAACAGGAAAGGCAGCGGGGCTGACACAGACTTTGGGGGCATCTTGAACAGAAGTAACAGGGAAGCCCTGGCCACAGCAGCAGTGTGGGCACAGCGACCAGGCCTGGACCGAGTGGGCCCTGTGGAGGCTCACTCATGGCTGTTATAGATGCCATGTGAACCGCAAGCCCCCCCGCAGGTTTACTTCTGTTCCTTCGTCACATTTTCCAAGTTGTTTCACAGAAAAAGTTTAAAAGCAGGGTGTCCGCCACGACCATGAGGCTTTACAGTGAGCTGACCCAATGCCCTGTGCGCAGCTCACGGGTAGGCAGGGCCTTCACAGTAGCAGCCAGGACCCATGCGGGCCCAGAGGCTCCTACCACACAGGAACCGCCACCCACCCACAGGACACATCTAACTGGTCCCCTCAACCACCTGCAGCCTGGAGGTGCGGGACAGGGACAGGGACAGGGCACCTGGGCTTCAGGGCCAGGCAGTAGGTCCCTCACCGAGAGCCAGGGGTTCCTCTGCTCAGTCCCCCAGTTGCGTGACACCACAACTGGCAACGGGGTTGGCAGATACGCTTGTTTACTCAGATCACATCTGCACAACCTGCAGAAGAGGAAACTTTGTGGCTTGCCCAGCCCTGCATGGCAGCAGCCCTGCCAAGAGCCACTCCTACCTGCACCCCAGGTGATCCTGTCTGTGTGCCCGGGCTGCTTCTAGTCTCATGCCTCCTCAGCTGCCCAGGAGGCCACCTGGAGCAGGTGGTTCAGACTGAATTTCGAAAATGACTGCATGAGTCAGCAAGTGGCCCAGAGGTGTTCGTGGCAGCATCATCCTCAGGGCTGGTGTGCCATCTACTGCCAGATGGGGAGCCCACAGGTCGTGGAATGGGTTGGGCGGGCATGTCCCCACCTCAGGGCTGTCCTAAGGACACAGGCCTCAGCCACAGCCCCAGGCTGCACATTCGTGGATGCAGGTCACAACTCACCTACAGCACAAGGAGCTGCTGCCCCCTAGTGCCAGGAGCAAACCCCAGCCCATGGGTTTGAGGGTTCTGGCAGACTCCAGGGAGCCCAGCCCGTCTCGCCTCCACAAGGCACCTTGGCAATTATTCTAATGTTGCTCAAATGCCCTTTTCTTTGAGGCCAAAAAGCAAAATCCCCTAAAGTGCCCCTGCTCTACTTAAGCGGCTCACAGGTCAGCACACCATGGAGACACCACTCTGGTCTGGGAGGCTGCTCTGCCCTGAGAAAGACAGACTGAGCACAGGTAACATTCAGACTTTATACTTACTTGGCAACAGCGCACGCAACACATGTACTTCAGATACTTTATTAGAAACCCTGACCTCATCTGTCCGCAACAGCACCCCCCAGCCCATCCGTCCCTCCTTCAGCTGTGGTGGGTGCAGGGTCCAAGGGCCTCACTGGGCAGTGACGGCGACCCTGGGCGCTGGTGCTGGGGGCCCCCGTGGAATGGGCACTTGGGGGGCTGCCTTCTGGCTCCTCTCTGCAGACAAGCGCTCCAGGCGCTCTGTGTAGAAGCCGTTGAAGTCGAGCCTGAGGGGTGAGGACGGGGCTGGAGTGTCTGGGCACCCACCCTGCGGTGGCTACAGGACCCTGCATCAGGTGGCAGGGACACCCTTCCATCGTTATCCGCCCGCGGCCCCCATCTCACTCCGAAGCGTGTTGTCACTTCAGGGAGTGACGGGGGACAGGCAGCAGCATAAGGAGGCCAAGGACAGACACCCTCAGGCCTGAGCAGAACTGGCCTCACGTTGTCTGTGCAGACCCGAGTGGGTGAAGGTGAGAGACGACAGCAGGGAACCTGGGCCTCGCAGTCACGCGGGGGCAGGGACAGGGCTCACAACAGGAAAGCTGCCCACACCCACCTGGAGATGACGCTGGCCATGCCGTGCTCGCAGTCGCTGGTGCTGTAGATGCTCAGCCGGGCCAGGAGGTCAAGTAGATGAGCTGAAAAATTCTTATCAAACTTATTGATGGTGGCCTCGAAGCTGGAGGCCAGCTGAGGCGTGTCCACGTGCTCGGCCAGGTGCTGGAAGACAGGAGCCCAGCTTGCCTTGACCTTCCTTTTAAGTTCTTCCAATAGAAGAATGGACTTCAGGAAGGTTCCAAGTGATAAAAGGTATAGGTAGGGCATCATAAAAGTTCCTGAGACCACCCTAGCCGATTTGGTTCAGTGGACAGAGTGTCGGCCTCCAGACTGAAGGGTCCCAGGTTCAATCCCAGTCAAGGGCACATGCCAAGGTTGTGGGCTTGATCCCCACTAGGGGGAGTGCAGGAAGCAGCCTATCAATGATTCTCTCTCATCATTAATGTTTCTATCTCTCTCTCCCTCTCTCAAATCAATAAAAATATATTAAAAAAATAAAATAAAAAGTTCCTGAGATCACAGGACGGAGCTGCCCTGGGCAGCTGGGCCTCTTCTCCTGGCCACAGGGCACCAGGGTTTTCTTTGTGCAGCTCAGACTTCAGCACAGTCCGTGTTCTCTTCTGCCCGTGAGGGGACAAAACAGGGACCATGGGAGCTGGCGCCTGAACCCATGAGCCCTCCACCCATGGACCTGCATGCTGGCATCTGAGAGCGGCCTGACCTTCAGGTAAGGAAAGACTCTAACCTATACTTGCTGAGGGCCAGGTTCTGCTAGGCAGCCCTACAGCTCAGCCCTCAACCACCGCCTGTTGTGCAGATAAGCTGGCCTCACCCTGGCGCTCAGGGGATTTCTGTGGCTTGTGTTTGGAACCTAATTTTAAGATGGTTGTCTTTTAATCAAACTCAAGCCAGAAATGAAAGGGTGGTAGCGGGTTTAGTTTTTAAGTATTAGAATCCTAACACTGTCCAATCTCTCAGGAAGATGGAGGACCTGCTGGACTAACCCCCGAGGCCACGCACCTTCCTGGCGAGCTCCTTCCGGGCACGCTCCTCCGCCCGCTCAGCCTCGGTGGGCGGCCCCTGCATTGTGCCGTGCTCCAGAGTCAGGCGGCCCAGCTCATCGTCCAATTTCATGCTCTGTGTAAACCTCTTGGGGGCCCAAAGAAAACTTTCATTACAACCTATTTGCTCCCACTGAAACGCCCCCTGCACCCGGACATCTGCAGACTCGAGGACAGAGGGCGGGCCTTCTGGGAGGCTGCAGACAGGTCAACACCATTCCCGTCTGCCCCACGGGCTTATGGACCTATTTTTCTGAAAACACTTGCTTTTCATGGTGTTCTCCAGGTTGCAACCCCATATATGGCTCCTAAGTGTCTGAGGAACCGAGTTTACATGCTCCTGACCCCTTTGTCATCAGCCGACACATCCCAGGCTTAGTCCGCCTTCACACTGGTTCAGACGTCCCAGTAGCCTTCAGCCCTGGCGAACCCCCACATCACCCCATCTGCCTCCTGGCACTGTTTTCTGTACCACTGCTTTTGAGCCACTGCTTATGACAGGCGCCCAATAAAAATGAAATCAAATAAGTTCTGACAAGAAGAATGCAAGGTGTTCAGCAACAGGCCAGGACAGAGACCCTGCAGCCGGGGTTCCCGCCCACGGGCCCGGCGGGCTCAGGAAGGACACTCAGGAGCACCTGCTGGCTGACGGACAGAGAGGGAGCGGGGTGGGCAGGGCTGCGGCACGCACCTGCATGCAGTTAGTGAACATGACGCACACGGACATGAGCTTGGAGAAGACCTTGAGCAGCTCGGGGTTGGTGAGCATGCAGTCCTTCAGGCAGTTGTCCAGGAAGCTTGTGTGGTGCCCCAGCACATCGTCGATGTTGGAGGCCTGCAGGGAGCACACCAGGTTGACGTGTGCCCCCGGGGCTTCAGCCCTGGCTTTGCACACGTTCGTGTTATTTCCATTTAAAAACTGACCCTGTGGTCTTTGGGGGAAACTCCTATACCACTAACAGGAAGTAATACTGAACATGCCCCCAAAGTCCAAGTTTTTGATCCCTAAAGACAGGAAGCAAGAAGGAAACACTGCCACTTGCCACTTCCTGCTTCTGGAATTTGGTGGCAATTGGTTCTTCTGGCTGAGAAGCCCCAGAGGGCCCAGCACGTGCTGGTGGGAGCGCAGGGCCCCCAGTTCTGAGGCTCTCAGAGCTCCCAGAGGACAAGGCATCCACGATGTTCAACAGCTTGGTCCTGGGGCTACGGGGTGTGTGGGAGCAGATCCCCCACGCCAC